GTCATTAAAGACAGGCCAAGATATAATAATTTGTTTATGAGCTTATAAGTTAACGCTGATGAAATACACAATTACAATTGTATTTATCGGTGAAGAGGAGTGATTGCGCATATTACGATGGACCAAAGATACGCCACATAAATTTATTATTGCTGCAAAATAATCATTTAAAATGTACATAAAATTACTTGTAATTTAATCGCATTTCACATTTATTACAGGTTAACAAAATATTGAACCAATCAATTGTGAATAGACATACAACTACTAGTAACTGCTAACTGGTTACTGGTAATTTTAACGAGTAAAGATAACCGAATTGAGCCACCTGCTACACTTAAGTAGAATTAGTGAATACGTGTAGTATGGAGATTGAAAGCAATTTTATAAGATCTAAGTATTTGCAATAGAGTCGAAGTATCTTAATTTGTAGTTCTGGTCTTTATAGTATAATTTTTATTCAGCAGATTGTTCTATGACAACTAAAGTATGCATGCTGTCAAAATTACAAATTCTGTTGTAATCAATTAACAACTTCTGATTGATAAAAGAATGAGATACTTCCGAAGGTGGAAAATTAGAGTAAATGCCGAAGAAACGCAATTTATGTTCAACGAGACATAGAAATCAAACTCCAAGAAAAATGAAAACGATTAATGTGGAGTCAGTGCGGGAATACAATGTGAAGTACTTCAGACTAGCTTTTGATAGAAGTTATACTTGATCAGTAAAAAGCTCAAAAAATTGGTTTGCAATATAACTCGGAATATTTAGAAACCATAAATACAAGATAAGTTGACTATAAAAATAAAATTCTGCAACAAATTAAACCTCAAATACGTTATGGCTGTATTTCTTATGATAATGCTACTTCATCGATCAATAGAAACCATCAAACTTGTCAAATTTTTATATTAAGTCCTATATCGATATGCTCTAAAGCATATCAGAAATAACGACATACACGAATATTGGAGAGTCAAAAGTTTGTGAAGCACATTAAAGTCAGAGCACAGAGAGTGTTTGAATCTATGGTCGTTCCCACTTATTCCCATTTAGAATTTGACTCCCTTAAATCGAATGCAATGTATATTCCATTAGGAAGATATACTGAGCTTCAGTATGTCTGGGCTACTGTTGGTTGTTTGTTTGCAGTGGTAGAACACAATAATTTTCATATACCATTTCCATATAGCGATTTTTCGTCACACTCTTCGCAAAAACCCCTAATAGAATATAAACTAAGCCCATCCCGTCAAATGCAGATAATTTAATTGGTCTTTCGTCCTTACTTCTAGGGACGCATCCACGGAAGTATCAGAGCGAGGTAAACTGTCAGCTTTCTCGTTCTCTTCGATGTTCCTATGTCCCAGATGAACCCAGATGAGGGTAATGTCAGTCAATCGGTTTAACTCGTTGATTGCCTCTCTACATTCTTTTACTATTTTTGATTTTGTGTAGAAGGATTTAACGGCTTTGATTGCTGTCTGGCTGTCAATAAAAATGGCAACACTACAGTATTGGGTTGCTGTATTTCTGTAAATTCACTTGAATTATTACCATAATTATCTTCTAAAACTTTAGTACATTAGCTTTATTGAATTGTACATTGAATTTTGTTATATTGAATCATCTAAGTGATCATAGATACGTTGCTGAACAAAACTGCTTTATACTCTAATTCAGGTTTCATCAAGCAAAGATATGGTGAGTGAAGAAGAAAAGTACGACGAGTATACTTACAGTATAGTATAGTAGTAGTTTAGTAAACTATTCATTATACTGCGTTAAATTTTTTAAATTTTTCGAGAAAGAGGATATAGTTTCATTTATTTATATATCAAACGTAAAGTGGGCTCTGCTGATATCCCGATATCAATCAGTACATCCTACTATACCTAAAACCCGTAATTTAAGCCACTCCAAACTACTTAAGTGAGTTCCTAAATAAGTATTAGGTATGTATAAACATAAACTCAAGAAAAAATATTTTTTAAAAAATGTAATTTAAAAATGCTTCTCTATTATTACTATATATTATATATTCTGTTAACATTTTGTCTATGTGAGCTAAAAGACAATGCCATAATCTACTTGGCAGCTATTGTATTTTGTCTACATCGCAATGTGCAGTGTCGTCTGGTCTGGGACAAAACAAGTATTTAGATAAAAACGTAACTGCCTTTAAACAAACCAAAACAAAAGACAACAATTCTCTGTGTGCATATAATATATATATACCACTATATTATATATGAATTTCGACCATAACAAAACGTTGTGGGCAGCACCGGAAAGTTGGCGGAAATGAAACTCACTCATAACGGAAATAATGCTGCTGATTATTCGCATTATTACAGTATGGATTTTAAGAGCGCTCGAAACGTTGAAAAAACGTTTGTAGTTTTAAACTTTATTTGACAGTATTTTAACCCAATACGGAAATGTTCCACTTACATCGCTAGACTATTAAGAACTTAATATTTAATATGAAATTTTTTCATTTTGTCTTAAATAGAATTTAATATAAAAAAACTTTCCATAAAAATTAAGTAAATATCATCCTCATGTCAGATTGGATTTCGTCATCGTCTGCCAAAGCATCAGATTTTATATTGTGTTTAATGCTGAAGTAATCCTCTGTTTAAGTTTGTTTAAGCAACTTAATGCTGATTACTTTTTGTTAAATTTATTTTACCTGCTGCACAGATACTTTAACAGAATATATTTATATATATCTGCTGAAAGCACTTGCACATCATTTAGTATTCGGTACTGAGCACTGAGCGCTGAGCGCTGAGCACTGACTCAGTGAAAAGGTGTACAAATTGCTTCATTTAATCAGTTACAAGGGTGTAAAGCGCAAATTATTGCTGCCATGTTCCAGTTGCTGTACAACATGTTGCTCTGCTATTGGCATTGGTATGTCTGCTCCAGTAGTCAACAATCTGCTGCTGTCATTGATAATGCTAGCTTAAGAAATTTCAATATAATTCGTACCACCCACAATACAAGCAGCCCACAGAACTTGTACTTCTTTATCTTCGGTCGTTTGAGCAGTTGTTGGAGCTGCTGTAAGTCATTGTTAGATTTCTCTAATGAGGTAATAAACTTATGTAAGTTTTTAAGTCCTTGCTAACATTTTACACATAATAAGAGAATTTGATTTATGCGCGAAAATGTCTTCTCGTTCCGGTTCCGGTTCACGCGTACCGACTTAATTAAAGTTTGATTTTGTATCATTTGCATTGTTAATTTAAGGGCCAGAATATTATAGACCTGCTTTCAAATTGCATTTAAATTTATTGCCAAAGTTTGTATAGTCTTAGTAAAAGAATAATGAAAAGGATAAAATATATTGTAAAGTTGGTCTACTAATTAAAAGTAAGTAGTAGTGATGCTGTCACCTATGTATGTGAACAACTTTTTATATAAATGAAGATAAAGTTTTGGATGTGAATTAATTTTAAAAGTTCTAAATGAACATATCAAACCTTATACTACAATCTAAAATATTTATAATTTATCAAATAATTTT